ATTATTTTCGTCCGTTAAGTGAGTGCTGATCAACATAAATAGAGCAGTCGGGAGGTTGGTCACCCTTCACCGTAGATTTGATGAGAATCCTCAGATAACTCAGGTAAGCTTCATTGAGTTGCACAATATTCGAAACTTGCATGCTCGGCTGTCATGAAGTATACACACTTTTTTGAACTGTAAGCATACTTCTTGTTGTTTCCAGCCAACATCCGCCGTCGATCACAGCTGCTCCCGACAGCTTCAATGTTGGAGCGAGAAAGAAGTTCCCGGTGGTTTGCTCACTAGACGGACAGTATAACCCTTGGATGAAGTAGTTAAACTTCCCAGGAATTCCTGGCCGGTCCTGCCACTGTGTGTATGGGTAACATAATAAGGTTGTCCCTGCTTATCGGCAGTAATGACATGCTCCGTCAGCCTGCTTGGCCAAGCTTTAACATTTTTCCTGGGAGCAGGTGCTTCGTGAACTGCGTACCAGGGCATGATCGCTATAGACTTATTGACTCGTACGAGTTGATCAATGAGAGAGTGCCAGCTGATCCAAATCCGACACGGATGGGATGGCTTTAAGCAGTTTGCTTCCTGGCCTTGGTCTCCCAAGCGAAGCATTTTGACCAGTACGATACTGCAGGAAGGACAACGGAAAGGATATGTGTCGCAATTTCACGGCTTAGTAAAAGTCTATACATCAATGCGTTAGATACATGGCTTTTCCCTTTGTCACCTTGAACCTTGAACTAAAAGAAAGCAACTAAGGCGGTAGTCCCACTTACAACTTGCTCCACTGAGGAATTTTTGTCATTAACTACCGAGGAAAGGGTATTTTCCAGATCGAAGGTATTAATCACCCAGAAACGGTATTTTCCAGATCTAATTCGTCCCTTTGGAGAAAGTTATGTTTATCGAAACGTGTTCGATTTCCAATTATTCCCCTGGTAGGCGCAATGTGGCTATGTGGCTCGGGGGGGGGGGGAGTCGCCGCGCGCGGCTTAGCGACTGATACTAAACTCGAACATTCCAGCTTCTCACGGAACATTCCAGCTTCTCACGCATGTTAAGTGACTGCCCCTCGCCTCCACCCCCCCCCCTGGATTGGCTACTGGTTTGGAAAGTGGCGAGGCGGTGACAGGTGGCCAGTGTTTGAAAGTGGCGGCTTCCTTAAACGTGCGGTCCCGCCCTATGAGTCGTGGTGGTACCTGTTTCGACTCGCATTAAGCGGATACATCGTTTCGACTCGTGGTGCAACGTTCGATTCGCTGACGCAACGCTCGGATGAATCGCAAACTATGACATCGGCCTTAGCTACTTTTGGGTTTTTATTGACAGAAACATCCTCATCTTATTAAACACCTATTTCAAACGCCACTCTGAACGAAGATCGCGAGAAAACCCCCAAAAACATCTAACCATAACATTTGTAAGAACCAAGCAACCATGACTGGAAAGAAACGCAATTCAAAATATGGAGCAGTGTCTCGAAGTCATCGCTTATTTGGTCGAATAAAGAAAATAACTCGAGAAAGAAGCCAATATTACAGAACACACAAACTAAAAAAAGGTTCACCTTTCTCGAGGGATTTCACATCCTGAGAAGTGAGAGTGAGACGAATACGGTGCTCAGTGTTGTCAGCCAAAGGCTTCTCATTCTTGTATGCAACTCCAGCCTATAACCAAATCTCATGGAAAAGAAAAATTGAGGATTGAGGTAGAAAAATTCAACAGTCAAAGGGAAAACAAGCAGTGCAAGAAAATAATAAGGTAGAATCCTCTCCGGAAAAGTTTGCGATCCGCGGAAGTGCGAAACCCATGCG